ATATTTGGTAATTTTGCTCTATACCTCAAAGTAATAGAAAATACAAAATTTTAGATTTTTTTGACTTTTTGTTTCTGAGTTATACATTTTTGAAAATCTAAAAATCGGCCGATTTTTGACGCGTTTGGAAATCTTTAAATACCTCTATCTACAAAACCATTCAACTTGGAGAGTTCAAACCTTCACCATTCTCTTTAGAATTTCAAGAGCTACAATTTGATATGTCACTTGACTATATTAGCTTAGTAATAAAAATTTTCAAAAATCCAAAAAAAGTTTTTTTGAAAAATCTTAAAATCGAAATGCTTAATTTTTTTGGGGAAAAATAGTTATTTGTGCAACTAGTGAGAAAAGTGAGCAATTGACTCACTCGAGAGAAATCCTTACTCACGAGCCGTAGGCGAGTGTGGAATGGTTTCTCGAGTGAGGCAATTGTACTTTGAACTCGAGTTGCACATTATACTTTTCCTACAGTTACCATAAAACAAATAAATTGGTGAAGAAACATAACCTATTTTTACACAGAAGTGAACTTTTAATATAACATTTAATGTGAAGTGACAAATACAACAGTACAACAGCTGACCAGCTGATTTACAGCCAGTGCTGCCAACGTATTTCGCGCGCATACGACGTTGCCTGCATGTTACGCGCTCACTATTTCGTGCATTCACGTTGCAAATCTGGAGTGAGACAAAGTAATTAGAGTGAGCGTTTCTGATGAGCGAATTGGCCACTTTGCTTTCTCAAATCAGTGAGAGAACATGTACATTGTTAGGTAACTGTAGGAAAATATGTTTTTTGTACTTCTTATTAGAGTGCATGTGCCAAATTTCATTATGGTACTCCAATGGGATCATATTTTTAAAAATACTACTGTGTAGTTAAGCATGTAAAATGAACACCTAAAAAGTGTTTATTGACTATAGATGCATGACGTAACATAGTAGGCCTACCTACTGTAGCAAAGAAAAATTTATTGTGAAAATACATCTAGGCTAATTATAAAGAAAGATCTATATTACAGTGGAGTAAAATAAACTTTAATAATGATACTAATAAAATAATAACTACATTGAATACATTTTACCAATCAGTAGGATATAAGCCTATGCCTGCCATTGTATTTTGTAGCAAATGATTCATAAAAGTCATTGATATTCTTACCACCTCTTTATAATCATGAAATTAATTGTTATGTTTTTTGAATACAGTAATGTCTTTTTCATTTCAGGCTATCACTTTAAAATAACCAATTTAATGTTGTTTATTTATAAAATATTATTTATGATAACATTATATATTTAAGATGGTCATATTTTAGTGTTCAATTTATTTACAATAAAAAACATTATCATCTAGTAAACTGATGTGAACACAAGCCACTGTCTTGAAACCAGTATGTGAATGTTTTATGCATATAGGCTAATAATTGCTTCTTCTTTTATAAAATTTGGGAAGCTTTGGACATCTTGTCGGCATATAATTTGTATGTCCTACCAGTTGTCGTGGTTGGATTAACACTGCATTAATAAAATTATGTGGCACTGTTAATACATCTGGTCCTCTGGGATATGCAAAAGAAGGAGGTGGTCCAATGAGGATGGAGAAATGGTATTTTTGTCTATGGTATAACTTAGTAAGTTCTTTTTCAGATTGGTTTTTAGAGCACACAAGCTATCCAACATTTTCTGTTATATGCACAAGCAACAAATCCATTTATTTCTTCAAATGGTACATCGTTAACTTAGCATCTGGAGCAACTTGTACGGCGTGAAGATCCTACTTTTCAGTTTCAGATATAATTTTTATATTATATCATATCAATGACTTTTTTATGAATCATTTGCTACAAAATACAATGGCAGACATAGGCCTAAAGCCTACTGATTGGTAAAATGTATTCAATAATGTAGTTATTATTTTATTAGTATCATTATTATACTATCATTTATAGTATTTTACTGCACTATAATACAGATCTTTCTTTATAATTATGTATTTTCACAATACATTTTTCTTTGTTCAAACCTATTAAGATTACAGTACACTATAACTTGTCATGCATCTATGGTCAATAAAAACTTGTGTTCATTTTACCTGTTTAACTACATAGTAGTATTTTTTTAAATATGATCCCATTGGAGTACCATAATGAAATTTGGCACATGCACTCTAATAAGAAGTACCTACAAAAAACATATTTTTTCCCCAAAAAAATTAAACATTTCGATTTTAAGATTTTTCAAAAAAACTTTTTTTGGATTTTTGAAAATTTTTATTACTAAGCTAATATAGTCAAGTGACATATCAAATTGTAGCTCTTGAAATTCTAAAAATAATGGTGAAGGTTTGAACTCTCTAAGTTGAATGGTTTTGTAGATAGAGGTATTTAAAGATTTCCAAACGCGTCAAAAATCGGCCGATTTTTAGATTTTCAAAAATGTATAACTCAGAAACAAAAAGTCAAAAAAATCAAAAATTTTGTATTTTCTATTACTTTGAGGTATAGAACAAAATTACCAAATATTACCCATTTTGAAAACCTTAAGTTCCGAAATTATTTTTTTATTGGTTGATTTGACATGGAATGACCCCACAGCGTCTCCCTTTCCTCTGATCCATTACTGCCTTATGAGAATATACATCCACCCATCTCTATTACTCTAGAATGTCCCTCTGCAATGCTGAAGGCACTTTCCTTTTAGGTTATACAAAATATAACTTGTACGCTAGGCTAATAAAAATGTTTTTTTTTATCTTGAAAAACCTTTAAAAAAAACCTATTTAGAAATAAAATCATTAACTAACCGTCCTGTCCGCCTACATCTCAAAAACTGGAACACAACCTGGAAACTTGTAAGTAATCTGTATTTTTTTATACAGTGTTTCTGGGGTTGGCAGCATAATTGGTTTAAAGAATAATCTTTGATGAGAACCAAAAATGTGTTTCTTTTACAGGCGGGGTAAAAGTGAACAGCATTCACAATTGCCCCAAGATTAGGTTCACAATTACCCCCACATATTTATTGAGGGTAACTTAATTGTGAATTTGAAATAAAAAGAAAATTGCTTACAGGATGGATATGAGGATACTTAATGCATTATACATTTGAAATTCTTTCATAATTACTGGTTTTCATGTCAATCTGACTTTTACTTTTTTCACACAAAAAATATTTGCTAAGGTCTACGCAACTTGTTTGTCAACGAAAAACGCAACTTTTTTTCAACCTAAACATAAGTAAAAAATTGATTTCTACTCAAATCAACAATACACTAAGAAATTACAGCCCTAGTTCACAATTCCCCCAGTTCACATTCACCCTAAGTAGACCCCCTCTTAACCGACCCTAATGGGACCGGACCTAGGTCGGATGATTCAAAAGGTCGGATAAAACGGGCAATCCCTAAAATCATAACATAATAAAGTGCTATTCATTTGGAATTATATAATCATTATTTTTAAGTCATACTTGCATTATTTATAAAATAAACTACTCTTTAGAAATGTCACAAATAAACACAAAACACGGTTAAGTCAAATAGGCCTACTTTCAGTGAATATTATAATACTAGGCAAGAGTCAATAAAATTCCTATTTTAATAACTTTACTACTGTAATGTATTAATTAATGCTTTCCAAATACATCGTAATACAGTAAAGAACCTTTTGTCGTAATTAAAGATACAAGCGACCATTTTGTTACAAGACAGGACGTTTATTTATAGCCTCTCACTGGAGGCTCGAGGCACAAAAACTATCTTGACCTTGGAGTTGTTAACACCCCTTCCCTGCCCTCCCTACAAGTTGCGTTGTTTGTTTACTCCAGCGATAAGATAATCAGTTCTCAAAATCGTAACGCACTTTATGATGTTATAAATTTGCCGCACAGATAACAAATCAGATCAGATGTGCTCGAGCTACGAACGATGATGACAAACTGACAATAGGCTATGCTATATTTTTCGTGATCATCACAAAATAACTTATTGTTAGTCATATCCTGTGGAGATAAGCGTATGGTTCAGTTCTCATCGCCCAGCGTGGGAGCGGAAGTGCCGAGATTCCTAGAAAGCGGCGGTTAAACCGAGCTGCTCTCAAAGCAAGGTCGGTTAAAACAAACTGTATTATTTCACGATCAAAGGCGGATAATCCGATTATCGGTTAATACGAGGTCGGTTAAGAGGGGGTCTACTGTATGGTGATTTAGACCTTAGTGGTCATCAAAACGAAAAAGTTAAGTTATGACAGTTACTCCTTTGACTGTTCATTGACTGTGGTTGCAACATAATAAGCACTGATGAGGTAATATTATACAGAGGATATGCGTCCGGTAACCAGACGTAACTTAAGTACATTAGGCATCCGGCAGTGACGTCACCGGATACCGGATTGAGGGGGCCGGGAACGCCATTACCACAACAATACGACAGACATCGGCGTTCGTAGTGTAGTGGATAAAGTGCTCGGCTGATATGCAAGAGGTCCCGGGTTCGAAACCCATCCTATCTTTAACTTTTTGTCAAGGATTTTGCTTTGAATGCATTTGATCTTAACTGTACATCTTATTTTATAATTTTTGGCATTTATAATTTTATTTTATGAACAGAATTTAACCTTCATTCGATTTCTCATTATCAGCAAGTTTGGTTGGTTAGGTTAGGTTATAACAGTAGGGTAACTAAGTTACCGTACGCCTAATCCACATCCTCTGCATTAATCATTACTTCATCTAGGCCTATAGCATAAGAGCAAAAAGGGCACTAAGCACAAATGATAGCTTATGCCAACATTGCCAACCAGAAGGAAAGTCTAAAGATCCTACCATAGACTAACCAACACAAGTAGGCCTATGTTTTATCTATGATCCTACTTAACTCGAGATGAATACCTACAAGTCAGTAAAACCATAGATAAAACATACTCCCTTAGGTAAAACATGGTAGATAAACCATTTTTTTGTTTGTTATTCATTATTAACTGTAGGCCTACTTACTGTCTAGACTACAGACATAGAACCAACTACAGATTAAGCCTATTAACTCTTCCATAGCCACAACCACAACACGAACACCATAACGATAACAACAACAACATGAACATTAACTAACTAGAAGTTCAGTTCTAGTTCTAGGTAGGTAGTTAATGTTCTTTACTTTAGAACAACAGAACCTAAGACAGACAGGAGCGGAGACTCACCGTCGTGAAGTTAGCGGCTCTCTTCATCGGCGCTTTTTCGGATTGTGTGTGTAAAGAACAACAGAACCTAAGACAGACAGGAGCGGAGACTCACCGTCGTGAAGTTAGCGGCTCTCTTCATCGGCGCTTTTTCGGATTGTGTGTGTAAGAGATATGGGTTGGTACGCCTGCGGGCGCCACAAACGTGTTTTGCAGGGATGTCGGAAATGCAATTCAATGACAATACGGTGCGAAATTATATGTTTTTACATTTATATAATGTCAATTATACCTTGACAAAACGTGTATACACGTTAAAACTAATTAATTGACGTATTTTAAAAGGCATATTTGAGACCATACTGTACATTATACGTAGCTATGGCTTAACGTAACGCGACCAATTAAAACTCCGTACATAAAAAAGTGCACAATCTTTTTCCTAAGCCCATCACATCAACTTTGAGGTACCTATTCTAATGGTAATATACAATGTGATCAGTATGAGTATGATTGAGGCAGTTCCCCAAATTACGAAGTTATATGGCAAAATGTATATGGTTGATAGGAACTCGCATCAGGAAAAGTGCACAATCTTTTTCCTAAGTCCATCACATCATCTTTGATGTATTGTAATGGTAATATACAATGTGTAGAATACTCAGTATGAGTATGATTGAGGCAGTCCAGTAAATTACGAAGCTATATAACAAAATCTATATGGTTGATAGGAATTTGAGTCAGGAAAAAGTGCACAATCTTTTTCCTAAGCCCATCACATCAACTTTGAGGTATTCTAATGGTAATATACAATGTTTAGAATAACCAGTATGAGTATGATTGAGGCAGTCCCCTAAATTACGAAGTTATGGCAAAATGTATATGGTTGATAGGAATTTGAGTCAGGAAAAGTGCACAATCTTTTTCTTAAGCCCATCACATCAAATTTGAGGTATTCTAATGGTAATATACAATGTGTAAAATAATCAGTATAAGCATGATTGAGGCAGTCCCCTAAAATACCAAGCTGTAAGCCAAAATCCATATGGTTGATAGGAATATGCGTCAGGAAAAAGTGCACAATCTTTTGCCTAAGCCCATCACACCAACTTTGAGGTATTCCAATGGCAATATACAATGTGTAGAATACTCAGTACAGTATGAGTATGATTGAGGCAGTCCCCTAAATTACGAAGTTATATGGCAAAATGTATATGGTTGGGGAGGCCTTCTTTTAGGCAACCTTTCATCTAGGTACCATTTCACTTAAATCACATATCAAGTTGGTACCGACAACTCAAATCGGTCAGCTAGGTCCCGGCCCCTCCCTTCTGGGGGAAGGGCGTGGCTTCGCTGTGGTCACGTGTTTCTGTTGGAATTTATTTATAATCTTGTTCCTCATTGCCTTCTTGGTACTAAGTTAGAAGCAGCTGTCATGTGTTAATTATATGCCATGTGATTGCTATGTTTATTAATTTGTTGTAAATAAACATCATCACTTCCACTATGGACTTTAGAAACCATACTGTGTAGTCATTTTACTCCTAATTATTATAAAGGAAAACCAATTATAAACAAGTGGTTATGGGCCCAGTTTCACTTTTATTGTAACATGTTCTCTGTGGCCGATTTTGAACTGTTTAATTTTTGAAGGAAGTGTTTAAGAAATATTATAGTAAATTTCATTGAACGAACACTTAATTAGTATGATGGGAGACAAAGTTGTATACTCCACATCAGCCCCTGGAATTTCGAAGTTGAAAGGGTCAGCCAACTATGCCAGTTGGAAATTTGATATGAAGATGGCTCTAAAGTATGAGGGATTGTGGAATTGCATTGAACCACGTAGGACTATTGCAGAGACAACACCGCTAACTGTGGATCCAGACAAAGATGAGAGGGCACTCGCCAAGATTGCCATGCACCTGGAGGCAGCTCCAAAACTACATATCAGGACGGCCATATCAGCGAAGGAAGCATGGGACATTTTAGCAAAGCAGTATGAAGTCAAGAGCACAAACAGGAGAATATTTCTGCTGGACCAGCTTTTAGATTTGAAGTTGGAAGTATGCAACAGCATGAGTGAGTATATTTCTAAATTTCTTGACCTCAATGCTCAACTTGCTGACATAGAGAAACCCGTAGACGATGAAATGAAGGCGTGTCTACTTCTAAGAGGTTTGCCTGAGTCTTACAGGGCATTTAGGATGGCAGTCGAGAGTACAGATAAAGTAGAATATAGTAAAGTACTAGAAAAATTAAATAGCCTGGCTGAAAAGGATACCACTGAGTCCTCTGTAGTATTTTCAACTTTTAAAAGCAGTACTGGGATGCATTTTCTATCAAAATCAAATACTAATCAAGCTAATTTTAATAATAGCTTAAAGACGAGGAAGCCTTTTATTACTACTTGTTACAAATGTAGAAAGGCAGGCCATATGATAAGGGATTGTCCTGAAAATAATCAAGCTAATATTAGTAATAGCTCAAAGATAGGGTCAATTTCCAAAATTGATAAGTCAGATGGTAAAGACAAAAATAAAAATGTAGGTTGGATAACTGCCCTGAATGTAAAGGTAGAACCTGAAAGCTGGTACTTAGACTCGTGTTGTTCTGACAATCTTTCTAAAAGTAAAGAAAGTTTTCAAACGTTTAACTCGAATGAGGGAGTTAAAGAGGTCACTGTCGCTAATAATACCAAAATTTACTCTGCGGGTTCTGGGAAAGTTTCTGTGAATCTTAAAAACTTTGGTGAGAGAGTGATATCGAATGTGACGTATGTACCAGATTTATATACAAATTTGCTATCTGTGAGCAAAATAGCTAGTAAAGGGCAAGTTTTAGTTTTTGATGACAAAGGGTGTAATATTTACTTAAAAGATGGGTTTTCAGTAAGAGGTGAAATCTGTGGAACTGGAACAAATGTAAACGGACTGTATCGGTTGGATACAGAGAGTAAATGCAACATTGATCCAAATTATGACAATTTGGCTATGTCTACTCAAGTTGACCAGTCAGTTAGTGTGGACCTTCATAATTTATGGCACAGAAGGTTGGGTCACTTGAATCATGTTAGCATGGGTATTTTGAAAAAGGGGATGGCTTTGGCTATCGATTTTCCTAATCAGATGCCAGAATCTTGCATTCCCTGTGTAGAGGGGAAACACTCCAGAGAATCTTTCCCAACCACTCCAAGTAAGAGAGCTGAGGCAAAACTAGAGTTAATCCATATGGATGTCTGTGGGCCTATGAATGTTCAGTCTCTTCAAGGTAATCACTTCATGCTAATATTTATTGATGACTTCACCAGAATGACCTTTGGTTATTTCTTGAAATCAAAGGATGAAGTAGTTGATTGTTTTCTCAAGTTTAAGACTTTAGTTGAAAATCAGACCAACCAGACTGTAAAAACTGTTAGGTCAGATGAAGGCGGGGATTACATGAATGCGAGACTAGAAGAAGTGTGTAATAGATTTGGAATAAGGCACCAGGTCACTACTCGATATAGTCCTGAGCAGAATGGGGTAGCAGAGCGTGCAAATAGAACTATTATTGAAAAAGCTAGAAGCATGCTAAGTGACTCAAATTTGAGCAAGGGGTACTGGCAGTATGCTGTGGAGGCAGCTATTTATCTTAAGAACCGAAGTCCTACAAAAGCTGTTTTCGGAGTCACTCCACAGGAGAAATGGACTGGATCGAAAGTGGACCTCAGTCACCTTAGAGTTTTTGGGTGCATAGGCAATGTACATGTGCCTAAGGAGAGAAGGACCAAATTGGACTATAAGAGTGTTCCTCACATTTTAGCGAATTTTCCCATATAGGGAATAAGCTATTACCGTAGTACTCATGGTAAGACCTGGACGCGGGACCGATTTTTTTTTTCGTTTTGAGGTCCCTAGAGGCCAAAAACACCATTCGTTCAAATTCATATATATATATATATATATTTATATATTTATATATTTATATATATATATATGTGTCCGTTAGCACGATAACTCAAGCAAAAATGATCCGATTTTGATTAAATTTGGTACAAACGTGTAAACCTACGTTTATTCGAATGAGTTCGCGATCCAGCATAATCGGATCATGGGAACGGGGGTTTATGGGGGGTTTTATGGGGGTAAAAATAGGTTTTTCCCATTTTTGACCCAAAAAACATAACATTTTGCAATTTCTTTCCAAACCATTTTGTAGAGCTTAAAAAAACAAATAATTTAGTATATTGAAGCGTTATTATGCGCCTAATGGTTACGGAGAAAATTCCAAAAAATTGTAAATTTAAAATTCCCATGTTATTCTTATGGAGAATAAGTAAACTGTTGTAGTTTGCTTGCTTATGAACATATTTTGATCAAATTTGGAAAATGTTTTTATTTCTTACTAACTATAACATTTTACAAAAAAAACACAGTTTTACCCTCCCTGATGCAGCAAACCTAAGTACTTGTTAAACTAATTCTATTTGAATCGGGAATAAATGTTATATTTTTAAGTAGACATTTCAGTGTACATCCAATCAGTCAAATGGAAATTCGCTTAGTCTGCAGGTTTGCTGCGGCGGAGGTATTGTAGGTTACAGTGAGGATGTCACAGGTTACAAATTGGTCGATCCTAAGTCTCCCCGTAGATTGATTTATTCTAGAGATGTCAAGTTTTTTGAAAACTTATTTTATAATGGGCGTGAAGAAAATAATGGTGATGAAACTATACAACCAGTCAAGACCATAGTAAGCATCCAGACCGCCAAACTCGATGAACCCTGCAGGAATCCTGAGGCAGAAGAGGAGAGCTTAATTCTTGATAATATCAACATTCAGCAAGATGATGACGATGTTGGAACTGGAGGATCCGCTGAAGGGAATTCGGGAAATGATGAGGAAGGTGTTGAAATTAATGTTGGGAGTAGGTACCCTCTAAGAGTAAGAAAACCTAAAATGTTTCCTGATTTTGTTACCTACATGGTTACCTGTGAGGATCTAGAGCCAAG